AAGGGAATTTAGCCTAACATATTGTAGAAATTAAATTACATAAGAATAATTGGAAAAATATCACCCGGAAATAAGAAAGATGGAAGAAGTTTGAAAAATCCACGTTCTTGATGTGAATTTTGAGTTCGGATGAAGAATCTTCAATATTCTATACAATTCGCCTTGATTCCACGTTGTTAGTCATATTCTTCGCCTCCAAAATATGTATAATATAGAGATTTTTAGGTTTAGGGAGGTTCTCCATATGTATTCTGTTGTTCTCTCTTTATAGGAGCCGAAAATTAGTTGAAAATTACGTTCAAATTGGTTTTCAAAAGAGTTCTAATCGAATAAGGAAAATTGCCTTCGCGCGCAGATTTTTTGTCTCTGCACAACAATTCGTATTTTAGTCATAATTTTCTCTTCTAATATTCGATTGATACGATTCAAAGTGCGTTGGAAAGATAACTTAAAGGGCTACAACTTTGACTGAAATAGAGTTTTTTCCAATTCAGATGTTTACTATTCCAAAAAGGGGTTTCAATGTTAGGCTAAAAATCTGGAATATATCTTGAGCGATTGAAAATTGATTTTGATAATATTTTAATCATGTTTCATTCCTGTTTGTTTCCCATTTTCTATCCATTTTTAGAAAAAATACTACCATTGCAGGCCTCACTTTGTCGGAATTGTTGACTTCCATCTCACATTATTTTTTAAGTTGGTACTCCAACGATCACGAAATTCATTTTCTACAGCTAAAAAATGGGCAACAACAACAAACAGAGGCACAAGAAGAAGACGAAGAATAGTAATTACTACGCATAGCCGGTGGTGCTCAATCTTAATCTAGGTGACAGTATGGGAGGATTCAAAATTCACTACAACAAAAATAACATATGTCAACGTTTGGACGTGTGTTGCAAATCGAAGTGTTGTCATAGAGTAGAGAGATACGGCAACGTTTTTTGAACGTTGCCGAAAGTCCTTTAAAAAAGTTGCCATAGCGATACGACAACGTTTAGCAAAACGTTGTCGTATCTATCTACGGCAACATTTGCCAAATTTCCTTTTTATACATAATTTTTTTTTGTGGGCCGACACGGTCCTAGGCTAAAGCCAAAGCTAGCCCCCCCTACATTAGGGTGGCGTTGGAACCTACGAGACAACACCCTACAATTGATGATCAATTATAATTTCGTAACTTGTAAAGCCAAAAAAAAAAAAAGATTATAGTTCAAACCCAGAAAATAGACGAAGACTAATTGTACCACAAATGTAATACTAGGTCAGCCTTGGTCGGAGAAACGAGTCTCTACCATTAGTAGGAGAAGAAATCGCCTTGTTTTGGCACTCTTCACACGAAGTAATTGAAACTATATATATATATAGTTCCACTTGAAACCCGGAAAATAGGCAAAGAAATTTATTATAAATATATGGGTGTAAGTCTTTTCATTAATTCATTACATTTTTCATACAAGAGAAGTCTCATCAATTCTAATCTCTATACAATGGAAACCAAGAAAATTTCGTCCGTTCGAACTTCTCTCTTCATTGGAATAATTTGCATGGCTTTGCTCTTTACATCTGGTAATTTCATTTCTCGATTTATTGTACACAAATACGTGCGAACGCTCACACTGTTTTCGATAATTCGTCTATTAGAAAAAACGTATCGAGTAAATTTATGAGGAAGTTTGAATGATTGTGTGAATTTCAGTGAGTTGTGAAGAAAACAGTTGGTTGGTGATTCAAGGGCCATGCTCTCAGTTCCCAGACTGCAATGGAACTTGCATAAAAATTGGATACAAGAGTGGAGGAAAGTGTCTTGAACCTGGAAAAGGAGCGCCTCTCGCTTGTGCCTGCTTTGCTCCTTGATTTAGATCATCACATCACTAAGCTAAAATCATGTTGGCTTATAATTTTCGAGTTATGACAAATTAATTAAAATAAAAAATTGTGAAAGCTGATTTTTGTTATCTCTTCTATTATTATTAAAGAGAAAATATGTTCAATAAGTACTTGTATACAACTATATACACATTTTTTAAATAAATACATTAATCGCTACATATATTGTACGCCACAAACCTCAAATATTCTTAAATTAAGATCATTAGTGTGTACTAATATTCATGTGTTTTGTTATCATTAAACATAAAAATTGATGTTCCAACTATCAATTTTTTGTCGACAATCCCTCGTGTAAATTTTATTTTTTGTCCTAAAATACAGTTTGGACAATAAATGAGATAATATTTTGGATATACAGATCCTGTTTGTTTCCAATTTTCTATCCATTTTTAGAAAAAATAATATTGTTGCAGGGCCCCCACTTTGCCGAAATTGTTGACTTCCATCTCATATTATTCTTAAAGTTAGCGCTCCAACAGTCACAAAATTCATTTTCTACAGCTAAAAAATGGGCAGCAAACAGAGGCACGAGAAGAAGAAGAAGAAGAAGAATAGTAATTACTACGTATAGCCGGTGGTGCTCAATCTTAATCTAGGTGACAATATGGGCGGATTTAGAATTTGACTGAAAAAAATTTAAGCTTAATTTCCTTTTTATACATAATTTTTTTTTTTTTGTGGGCCGACACGGTTGGGGCCATGGCTACCTCAGAGGCTGGCGAGGCAGCAAATCAAGGCCGGAATGCAGTTAGAAAGGCTCTCGATGCAGCAAAGACGGGCAGCCAAGAAGCCAAATCCGAGGCTGCCACTGCCGCTGAGAATGTACATATACCATCAATTTCTATTATTTATCCTATAAAAATTAACTTATCAGAGTTTGAATTAAAATAAGCTGTTATATTGAATGTGCTGGTATATATCATGGTACATTAGGTGGCCCAAAAGACGAAGGACTTATCGGGGAAAGTGTCGGACACCGCGCAAGATGCAGCGGGAAAAGTGAAGCAAACTGCGCAGGACGCATGGGGTTCAGTTGAGGACACCACTCAGAAAATCAAAGACACGATGGTGGGCAAGGCCGAGGAATCCACAGAAAGCATGAAGGAGACTATGAGAGAAGGATCAGCAAAACTCAAGGACAACATGAAGAATTAAGCACTTTTACGGGTTAATTACCCCAATAGTCACTGAACTTTACTGAAAGTTTCCATCAGGTCACTGAACTTTAAAAACTACGTGGTTAGTCATAGACCTTTCAAAACTGCAACCTCATCAATTACCGAACTTTAAAAATCACTCCATTAGTGAACTTTGCAAAAAATTTCTACGGAGTCACTAAACTTTGCAAAAGATTTCCCAGATGATCATTGATTCAGTAACCATATGGGAAACTTTTTGCAAAGTTCAGTAATGAATTGGGTAATTTTTAAAGTTCAGTGATGGATGAGGTGATTTTTAAAGTTTAGTGATGGATAGGGTTGCAGTTTCAAAGTTTAGTGACTAACTACGTAGTTTTTAAAGTTCAGTGACCTGGTGAAACTTTTGGTAAAGTTCAGTGACTATTGAGGTAATTAACCACTCTCTTTCCATGTTGAAAGGTCAGTCCAATTTAATTTACCAATCTTCATTCAAATTAAGTAATAAGATACTACTTGATTTCTTGGTGAGAGAAGGAACAAGAATCAAGGATAGATAGTTCAATATATTTTGTTGTGTTATTATGTCCCCATCTTGTACTGCTCATGTACTTTGTTTATTGGTTAAGGAGGACACCTGAATATCAAGTTGAGGATAAATTGTTACTAAAGCTGACTCCTCAATTATGACAAAAGATAACTAGCAGTGCAAGAGTATTGGTCCCAAGGTATGATGGTCCCTTCGAGGTGAGGTGTATGAGTGGGGCAAGTTGCCTACCAATTGAATATACTGAATGCAGTGACGTTTCACCCCTTTCGATTTAGCTAAAAATGATGGTCCCTTCGAGGTGATGTGTATGAGTGGGGAAAGTTGCCTACCAATTGAATATACTGAATGCAGTGACGTTTCACCCCTTTCGATTTAGCTAAAATGTGATTTTTAGTAGGATTTTAATAAAAGTTGATGAATATAGTTGAAAAGTTGATAAAAGTTATGGATTTCATAAAATGTGTGGGTGAAAATGGGTTTCATAAAAGAAAAAGGGTCAAACTGGGACTTCATTCTCTATTCGACTCGTTTCAACAAAATGAGAAGAATGGCAGTCAACACCATAATTCTCTCGTTTCTCACTCTATTGCTTGGAACCCTATTCAAGAACGTTCTCCATTGATGTTGTTGGTGCAAAGTCTTCAATGTAGTAAACAAACCAGACCTGTACTTGAAGAAACTTCTTGAACCGCTTGAATGAAAAGTTCCAGGACACGAGACTCTGATCGTTTTTCTTAAGACAATGTTTGCCTTCACTGTAATGTTATGTATTTGACTTGCCTCCAGGATACAATGGTTTTTTGGGACCAACACTGCTACAAATCAAAGGTTTGGTTATAACCTACACAGTTTTGAAAGGTTTCGAACCGCTGCTGCAATTATCCCGCAAATCTCCAATAGGTGAATATCATATCAACATAATGAGCATCATTAACCTAGTCAGCATATCACGAACAGAGCAGATGTTGCATTGCAAAAATGTAACGGAATCTCTGGTTGCTGAATGTTGGGGCCCAAATTTCTCTAACTAATTCCAACGCTAAAATTACGCATGTGGCATGAGCACCAGGTCTAACTATGGGCCCTATAATTTCGGGCCTGTGAAGCCCATAAAGTCCAGTGGTGACGTCACAACGCCTTCTTATAGTCTTTGGCTCCAATATCAGGGTTGTGGCTGTTCATACTTCATATACATTACTTTCTCTCTCTAGGGTTCTAAGTGTTTCCTTTTCCATACTAGTAATGGATAGATACCAGAGGGTGGAAAAGCCGAAGCCAGAATCTCCGATAAACGAAAATGAGATCCGTATCACCTCTCAAGGACTGGTTCGTAACTACATCAACTATGCCACCACACTTCTTCAGGTACCATTTTTTAATAACTAACAACTAATTATTTATGTTTTGTGTGGTTTTGTGGATTTGATTGTTTACATTGCTGAATATGTGAGTTCTATAGGGTTTCGTGGCGGTTTAGTGTGATGATATTGTGCTTGTGTATTGGTTATTTAGATTTTGGGCTTTTTTTTTATATTATATTATTTTGCTAATAGTTTTCCTCTTAACGTTTTTGATTTGCAACAAAACATATGGGCGCACGCATAGGCATGAAAAATTGCACAAAAACTCATTATATTCACAATATCTATAGTTCTATATGTATGTAACGTTTTTATGTGACATTTATGTAATGCATGCCCGTCATTTCAATATTGTAACCATAATTGTTATACTATTCATGAAAAATGTTCAGTTCTGGATTTTGTTGAGTGACGGTGTCATTCCTCATTATACTATTCATTTTTTTTTCTCTATGATGGCAGTTGTGTACCTGAAGCTCAAATAGCCCTCGTTATGTATTTATGTAGTTTTGATTTATATAGTTCCTTTTCTGCTTTTCTAAATGACTAATTATCTTCTTTTCCCTTTCTCCTCTTGTAGCTTCAGCAAAGATTGCAATTCAGTTTTCATTCTTTTTACACTTTCCATGTCTTGCAACTTCGCTGAGATGAAATTGAGAAATATTATATTCATTTATTGCATTTTTTACTAGAGTAATGCTATTTATCATTGTAATGATAAAATATCGGTGATGTGGCAATTTAGTTGAAATAATGAGATATGATAGTTCAATTTTCACGAGAGAGAGGGGGATTGAAGTTTCATATCCCGTTATTCTACCTAAGTTGCCACATCATCGATGTTTCATCATTATAATAATATAAAGCATTATTCTTTTTGAGTAACTTACTTTTAACTGGACAAGTAAGCAATTTTTTTCTGAGGCAGGGGGCAGAGTTTGGCTATGTGTGGAGATTTTTGTTTGTCTTAATTAAATTTTTGGAGTACTCTGGCAATGGATTAAGACATTAATCGGAAAATATGTTTGATTGATTAAAACTTCCCAGATTAAAGTTCATGTATAATATATGTGATCAAATTAAGGTGCATTCATATGTTTGGTGAGTGTCTTCTTTTTTGTGTTGATGTTGTTGTAATGTGTTCTGGTGTGACAGCCCTGGAGTGCGTAGTCATAATCAAATTTGGACTGTGTTGCTTCCTACTAACTAATAACTATGCATTTCATACTGACATAGATTAATATTGCCCACTAATTTACAGTCCACTATAGGCTTACTTACTGGTAATTCATGTTAGAATCTTGCAATAATCTAGGACAATCAAAGATAAAAATAATATAATGTTATTGAAGGGTCATTTCAAATATAACCCTAAGTAGCAACCATAGATCAAAATTTCTGAAACGTCTCGATGTTGATAGATACTCTTTGGTAGAGTAAAAAATCAGCTTATACATTGATCCAAATAGAAATGGAAGAAAGAGGGAAGATCTTGGTATTTAGTAGACTGTGTAACTGTAGTTAATCTTTCTACAATTGAGTTGTAGATCACATGACAACATTGACCAAGATATGATTAAAATGGAGCTTCAGTCTGCTTTGCTGTGCAAGGTTATTTCAATCTAACTGTTCTTAGATAAGTCATTAGCTCAGTATATGCCAACTGAATTCAGATCACGTGGATGCTATGGAGGATTGTTTGGTTTTGTGGAAATGACTATCATTTTGTAATCTATCGTTTGGTCAGGGTTGCTATATGCATAACTTGTGATCTGAACAGGTTCAGTTTGAAAATAAATTTGGGTTTGATATGCTGAAGGGTGAATATTATTCTTTTTTCCCCGTTTACAAACTTGTCATCTGTTTGGTCTGTCATTTAATTTGGCTGTATCTGGTGGAACCTTGCAAATTATTTGCTGTATATCTCATTGTGTACTATAATATTATTTGCTTCGCTAACTTGATGGAAGTTGCTTGTTACTTCTCTCATAAAGCTGGATTCTGGCTCCACTAGCAGACCCGTATTGCATTAAGAAATCTTTACTCTAATGATCCATGTTATGGGAAGTACAACTTTCATTTGATTTTTGTGAAATGGATGTGACGGTTTTTGTTTATTGGATAGCACTGTAGTACTTGACCAAAAGACTTAGAAGGAGAGTTTCTGTATAAGGCCTTGATTGAGTTACATTATGCATTTAGTTCACTTTGCTGTTACTTAGACTGCCAGATATACATTATAATCAAAGTCTCTTGTCCAGGAGAGACGTGGAAATGAGATTGTCTTGAAAGCAATGGGTCAAGCTATAAGCAAGACAGTAGCTATTGCTGAGATTATAAAGGTGGTGTTTTGAACTGGTTTCTTTTTTTTCTCTCTCTCTCTCTTTTCTTTTTGTTGAAGCTGCCACATGGAAACCTCATTCTTTGCTTTTGCAACAGAGAAGAACTCCTCGACTGCATCAGGACACTGCCATCAGTTCAGTAAAAATAACTGATACATTTGAACCCATTGAAGAGGGTCTTGAGACGTAAGTTTCAAGTTTTTGTTCATTATAGTCTTATCATTACATGTGCACCCTCCTGTATCCCCGGTCTCACATATGAGCTGCAAAGAAATTCATCGTTCCAATATTGTCTGATATTGATTTCATGCCTAATACAGTGTGGAGCAGACTCGCCATGTTTCGATGATTTCAATCACCTTGTCAACCAAGGAGCTAAACAAGAATTCTCCAGGGTAGTTTATGTTTAATTGTTATTAGGTTCTTTATGAAGGACAAAGCCAAAAGTTGGAGAGAGGCAGGAAGGTTGATATGATAATGCCACAACCTTTCTTCCTGATGCAAAATTCCTACCCAGATGACAAGTTTGAAAAAATACCTGTTTGAACTGTATTTCTGATGGACAGCAACTTCTCCTGTAGTAGCTCTTTCAACAAATGTTGCCTTGTGTATTTAAACTTTTGGTTTTTTTTTTTTATTGGACCTTAAATATTTTATGACAGATGTACGTTCTTTGACTTAATGTAATATTCTTTGTGCATATGTAGGTACCAAGCTCCAGCTCGTATGGAGCTAAGTGAACAACAATATAATTATCAGCCACAGCAACAGCAACCTCCTAGACAAGCGCGTGCAGTGTACAACAGTGGTAATGGAGGTAATGACAAGAAAATGCACCTTTATTCATCATCATTGTTGAACTATTGCCATTCTCGGTAATTTATTGACTGTTTACTTGATCTTTAGATGCATATGGGCATGGAAGAGGTCGTGGCAGAGGAAGAGGGGGAGGGAGGGGAGGAGGTTGGAACAGAGGTGGATATGCAAACTATCAAGGTACTATATAGTCATATGATCCCATCGATTAATTAATTATGTATTTTTTGCATGTAGTACTTGTCTAATTTTTTGTCTCGTGTTTGTGGCAGAAAATAATGGATATGCAAACTATCAAGGTATTTCAGTCTAACTGTAAAGTATTGTGATCCAAGCAACGGAGTAATTATGTATTTATTGCATCTTATACTTGTCTAATTTTTTTATTCATGTTTCTTTGTGGCAGGAAATGGTGGATATGCAAATTATAAAGGTTTCATTCCTATCTATAAAGTCTTATGATCCAAAAGACCAATTAGTTATGTATTTATTGCATCTAGTACTTGCCTTAATTTTTGACATTTCTTTGTTGCAGGAAATGGTGGATATGCAAATTATAAAGGTTCCATTCTAACTGTCATATGATCCAACCAAGTAATTATGTATTTATTGCATCTAGTGCTGGTCTAATTTTGTCTCGTGTTTCTTCATGGCAGAAAATGATGGATATGCAAACTATCAAGGTATTACATTCTACCTTTAAAGTCATGTGATCCAAGCGACTGAGTAATTATGTATTTATTGCATCTAGTGCGAGTCTAATTTTTTGACTCATGTTTCTTTGTGGCAGAAAATGGTGGGTATCCTAACTGGGGCCGAGGTGGTGGGCGTCGTGGTGGTTGGGGTTATCGTGGTTAGTATGCTCTTTACCTAATGACTTCGAAAACTGTGTTTGAGATTAGTTAATTATGAGGAATTGCATCTTTTTTATTTCATCTTAGGTGCTGGTTATGGAAGAGGGAGAGGCGGAGGTGGCAGAGGCTATGACCGTGGCCGTGGAAGGATGGGTGACCGCTTAAGGGGTGGTGGGGGTGGCAACCAGGTATAGTTGGGAGTCGGTATTCTCTAACAAAATGCTTGCATTGGTTTTGGTAGTTTCCGTATGAAAAGTTTGTTTACATTTCTAGAAATTGTGCCTTGCTTACCAGTGTTGTTAAGCAGCAATTGATTTGTTCTTTTCAACATATATGATGATATGTTATGTGAACAAGCTATGTTTTAAATGTTTTCTTTTATTAAAGCCAATAGCAAGCAATTATGACTTTGTGTGTAATTTTCTGATTTATTCACCCGATTAAAAAAAAAAAATCTCCCCCTCCCCTCTCTAGTCGTGTTGGTGATATGATTCACATTCTTGATTCTTTTGTTTGGCGCCAAATAGGAACAGCAAAGTTGAATTATAATTTATTAATGTTGAAGTTATTTCATAAACAATTAGATTAATTTTGTTAAAAATTAACTATCTGGTATATAATATAATACCAAATATCTTGATAAAGTTTTAGTACTTAATTATTTGTAATACGGACATTAACTAATGCGAAATTATTCAGTTATTGTAAGCTTTTAATATTTATTGTCTTAAAAACTTTTACTATTTAGTAAATTTTCTTGGTTGACATTCAAAATAGAAAGAACCTTCCTGGGGAGGAAAAAAAAGTGGAATGAGCCATGAAACATGAAAATTGAAAATGTCTCAATCGTTTTTATTTGTTCTTACGGAATCAAAAAGATATAAAAATTTGTCATTCACAATCACTGATGACAGGTTCTCTGAAATGTTTAGGATTGGTAATCTTTTTTACAAATTTAAATGGATACAATCTTATACATAATCATGGAAGGTAATCAAAAATTATTTTCACTAATTTGAAGGATTTCAACTCAATTCTACACAAGCAGTCCCACAAAATACACACCATAACAAAAGGCAAAATGTGTACCCCTTATTTTAGGCAAACAAAAGCAAAGTATTCGAATGATGAACCAACACGAACGACCATCAACAACTACAACCGGTGTAATCAAAATAATATTGAAAAACCCACAAGCTAATGACATTTGCCTTTAGTGCAGACTGATAAAACTATGATAAGAATCAAAGCAATGATAATGCCAAGGATAATCAGCTTTGTCTTCATGTTCTGCAGCCACAACTTCCTCCTCATTTGGGTTCCTTGTGTCCTGAAGTGTTGCGCCTACAACAGAAAAAAAAAAAGCTCATATATTCGATATACCAGTAAAAGTAGAGAATACAGTGACTAGATAAACCTTTGAGGTTAAACAAAAATACTCGAAATACTCAAAATTCTAAACGAGCTAAAGCAGCAAACAAGAGAACGCAGCGCTGAAGAATATAAATGATCAAGAGGGTCGAGTTGGCTTCGGAGCTTTTAGGCTATAACTTTGGTAAATATACCCAACTTATGCCCCGCGAAAGTAACTAGTGACAAAAGGGACGAACAAGTTCACTGAACAGAATAATTTTGAACATTTAGACCACAAATGATGTCTGACAATTGACAAACAGCATGTAAGATAATAAAACTCTATCGTGGTTTTTACAGCTTATTATATAGTTATACTGATCCTATGGTTTATTGGTTCTAGAACTGTAAAGGCCTCAACTTGCATAATTTTAATTTTATCCTGCATCTCATGGTATATAAGAGTACACATTTTAGAATCAACACCAAACAATTTGTGTAACATAGAATGTCTATGCTCTCCACAAGAAGAGAACAAGCACACGAATTTGCACACCTGAGAGCTAAGGTTATCAGTTTTATCTACCAGAAGCTCAATTTTCTCTCCACGATCAAGAACCTGCATATAGATAAGTCTCAATCAAGAATCGCGCACCATTTAGAAACTCAAATATCATATTACTGGAAATTGTATATTGTTTTACCTTCTCAATATTTTCCATCATCACCCCTTTGACTTCTGAAACCTGAGCTTTCACCTTTGCAAGCTTGCTGATCTCCTCAGGATGATCCACACAGTATTGCATTTGCTCCTTCAAATTGGGCCTAAGTTTTTGGTCATTATGCCATTAGATAATGATTTGTGAAATAAAAATAATTCATAATCAAATAACGGAATAAATTTACTTGAGTAAACGAGACTAAGAGAGAACTTTACCCAAATTCTCTATTCAGGCTGTTAGCAACAGCAGTTGCAGCCTTTACCCCACCATATTTCTCGGTAAATTCCTCCTTAATTCTCTCGAGAAATGCCATAGGAATCTGCCTGCCAATAGCTTGAACGGCTACAACACAATATGCTGTAATTAATACATAGAAAAGTTAGTCCTGTTGAGCAAACTGAAAAGGAAAAAACTGAAGATAAGAAAGGCCTAAATGATTGAGACAAATTTCAGGAATAAAATTTTGTTCGAAAGCTGCACGTTCAAGTATTTGTAGAGCCAAATATAGCTCATTTAAACCTGAAATATTTGGTTCATTTCTTATTCTGCATTATATCAATTCTGGCAGTTGTCCTTCCAAATAAATTAATTCTCAAGAGATGGCTAAGAAAGATGGAATCATTAGAAAAATATAGCAATCTTGAAATTCAAGAGTCCAAACTTTGGGAGGAATCATTGAAAAGTTGAAGTAATCTAACATCATAGGCATTATGTAATGCCAGAATTGACCTATTTCAAGATTATTGTATTACAATCTCCACCATTAGGAATCCAATCTTGAAGAATGAGTTAAGAAGTAGAAACATATAAAGGCAAAACTAATCTGAAGTAAGGAAATAAATCTGCCACATTTGAAACTGGAGTTTGATGCTAGTGGTTAGAAAATTAACATTAGATTCTCATCTTTTTGCATGTAAATAATTACTTAAAGCTAAAGTAAAAACTCAACAAATAACCTCATTCCAGGGCTTATCAAATGCCATAGACCATCATAAAACATGAAGGAATCAGAAAGATAATGCTCATTATCACAAAGCAAATCTCATCAGACACATACAAAGAATTCAACAAAGAACCCGCGGAAAATATATTTTGGAAGTAAAAAGATCTCTATCGTTTTTTCAAAAAGAGAAGGGACACCAGAGTGATTCAAATAACCAACAAAAATAAGTAAATTAAAGAAAAACAAGATTAAAAGACACAAGCAATACAGAATGACATAGTCAGGAATTCAAAAGTTAAATTGCCTGATTGCCAATTCTAACTTTACTCTAAAGCAGCATACTAGGACTGCAGGCTTACAGTTAGCACCTTACCTAAAGTAATAGATAAAAGTTAAAATGATATCTTAGGAATTTCAATACTGATCCAAGCTTTTAACAAGTAAATTCAAATTATATCAAAGCATCTAAAAAATAAATAAATAAACAACAACATAAGAATCACGCAACTGATAATCAAATCAAATCACTATAATTGTGTGAAGTTATAAAACATAAAATTTGCATCAAACAAATCGAAGGTGCAATAATATTATATATCACAAATCACAAGGGGTTTACTGAAGCCATCCTCGACAAGGTAGTTGAAGGTGTGGCCATCACAGTCATAAGTAAACTTATTGTTAGTAGCCGGAAGTTTCTGAAGGCACTGGAAAGCTATGCTCGTGAAATTCCCCGTGAACTCCGTGAACTCCGCCACGATCACCGTCCCACGCGCCACAAAGCTGTAAATCAACGAATGTTGTCCCATTTCAATTCAGATTTTCTCTCTCAGAAAACTCAAGCGCTCTGCGTAGTGTTGCCGAATTTAGAGAGAGAAAGTAGACATTGTAGAGGAATCTGTGACGATGATTTTGAAACGAGAGAGAGATGGGAAAGGAAGGAATTTTGTCTGCGGGAGCGGGACAGACATGGGAGATAACGGAAACGCCACAATGCTGGGATTTTGTCAGTTACGAATTTTATTGCATCATTGGTCCCTAAGTTATTGTTTGAGTTACAAAATTGAACCTTTAACTTTAAAAATGTGCAAATTAGTCTCTTCATTAACCTTTCTTTAATAGTACACCATTAATCACAATAAACATTTTCCATCGACTTTTTTCTTTGTTAAAATGACATTCAATGGATTATCTTCTTCAATCTTCAAACAGGCCATTGCCCTGTCAACTCTGCATTCTTCACAATGCAGATGAGCTTTGGTTCCACCATCAAAAATCACGGCAAGAAAAACTCAAGGATTTTGATTTTCAAATTAGAATTTGGGTTAAAATTGGATTTTTAGTAGATTTTGGTAAAAATCGACGAAGCGTGTTGTTGAAAAATTGATAAAAATTGAGAATCACGTGAAATAAGTAGTTAAAAAGAATTTATGAAAAAAGAATTTTTAAAAATAAAGATCAAATAGATGTTTAATCTTGTGAATTTGAGGGTATCGAGACAAAACCCTCAAAAATTTAATGCAAGATTCTCTTTCCACATCAGTAATGTGAAGTTTTTATACCGTCCACTGGAAGCAGGAGATCAAACATGTATATATTTGTTCAGTTGAAATGCTTGCTTCAACCAAAAAATTATTTTTTATTCCAACCTCTTGATTTTTCCCATCATTCCTTAGTTCTGCATCGTCCTAATTCTTTCCACTCTACAAAAAGAGTTTTGATAATGGTTTACAAATCTCAATCAACTAACCGTTTTGAATGGACATCAAAATCAACCAAAATTGACATAACGTAATGTGGTCATTATTCACAAAAGATTTGATTTTGAAAAGTATTTAAAAAAGTATCACAGAGATGAATGCTCAAAATTCTATGTTTTCCTCATAAATCGTCACCATCTCGGCTCCAAATTACTTAAGAAACAATTATTCTAAAGTAGATCCCGAGGTTTTATTTCCATCGAACCTTGAATTAAGTTCCTTTCGAAATTGTACAAGTAATAATAGTGAATTTTGAGTTTAAGCCCCTGTTTGTTTCTCCTTTTTTTTTTGCCAATTTCAGAAGAATTAGGACCATTGCGCAGTGCCACAACCACCATTGTTGACTTGTTTCTCTCTTGGTGGTCCCCACAACTTTGAATATAACGATAACAATTCTCGTTTTTATGCTGAAATGATGAGAAACAAACAAACACTAAGTATCATGCTCACAAAACGAAGTATGAACACGTCGTTATCATTGCCAACTCAGTTGTCTCCACATTCTTAGCCTCCAATACCCCACTTTTGATCTTACTCCTGATTGTAGCAAGTCAACGACCGTATCAACCTAGTATAAATGTACCAATGTTCTAGCAGGTAAAAACTTCAGAATTTTCTTTACCACGCAGTTCATAAATCAGGCAATTCGTAAATGAACATTTCAATTGTATTAACTTCTCAGAGGAGTGTGAAAGTGAAATTAGGGTGTCGACTGACGAGTCGAAAAAATAGTATGTATAACAGTGAAATTAGGAAGCGGTACCAAAACCTGAGTTTCGTCGAACCGGGTTCAGTGTGAAAAAGAATTTTGTAAGGAAAAGATAAATGGGGTGAGAGAGGCTCGAACTCTCGACCTCAGGATCACTCAGTAGCTATGAGACCTACGCGCTAGCCAACTGCGCCACCACCCCGTTGTGCAATGATCCATTATACTTATCATTTATTCAAAAGCTGGGTAGAATCTAGCAATACAGATTATGTTTTATAAACAAATGGTACAACTCATACAAACTATAGAAAAAAGAACAGCTAGCAACGACTGTTCACATGTTTTTCTTGTTCGAATTTTTTTAAAACAAAAGTATTAAAAGTTAAATGTTAAAATATTATGATAGCAATGAAATATATAGTTTATATTGAATGTTCTCAAAGAATGATATTGACACATAAAGTGATTCGATACATTGGTATCATTCAGCCCCCGTTTGTACACCATCCTCCAATTTTCTTTAAAGCTCATTTTTAACCACACATTCTCACAATTAAATATTTTACACATAAACCTAAAAAAATTGCTTATTTTTTAGTCACGCATTCTTCAAAAAATCACTATTCCAAAACTCCAAAAAAAAAAAAAAAGGGACTGTAATGAGCATCAAACACAGGCTAAATAGATCAAGTTAACAGTTAATATCAATTATAGCTCCTGATTGAGTAATATATTTAGTACAAGTAATGCCGAACACAGAGTCAAAAATATTGGAAAAAGGGAACATTAAGATTATACGAATAATTAAATATTTCAACCATCACCAAGTAGAAAACAATTGAACTATACATTTTATAATTTGATAGTTAATTGATATTTACGTAAGATATAGGGATGCAAATAAATTAAGTTAAGCATGTACCAACCTGGTTACAAATAATTGCAAGATATGCTTTGATTGAAGTTTTATCTTTATGATTGTGCATTGTATTTGACAATCATTTGAACTAATTCTGATATTTCTATATGATTAAACCCACATTAACATTTTCCAAAGCATAAACTGAAATCTGAGTTTCTTGAACAAATGATTTTCCCTCTCTAGCTCTGTGCAGCATTCAGATGTCCATATCTCTGCATCACTTTCTTAGTTGCTAGTGCAGCAGCCTCACTTGCGCCCAGTGTCCCAGTTGCCATGAGTGCAGCAAATTCACTGCTAATCTCCTCTTGCACTTTGCTTCGAGCATCCCCAAGCAGGTCCACGACAGGACCGTTATTGGAAATTGTCTCTTGGGGGTCACTAGCAGGGGAGATAACGTTGTTCCTTTCATTCTGTTGTTCTCCACAACTGGTAGATTCCAGTTTTGAGATTCTCTCAACATCATCATTTGTCCTTATCAATTGGTCGAGCCTAGCGACAGGTGACTCACTAACAGGAGCCATCATTGAAGGCCTGAACTGGGGTGCCTGAGGGACCGCACCTGCTCTTAGTGTCGCCTCCATTTGCTGTATCATAGGTACTGCACCAAATAGTTGATTCAAGCCCCAAAACAGAATATAAACTTAACCAGAATAGTTGCATAATAATAAAAATTAAAATCACTCGAATGTATAAAAATAAAATATGTGTTGACAAGGATTCTCTTAATGCTAGAAAGGTCATACTCAATCATTGATCGCCCTGCGATCGATTCTCAAAGGAAGATTCAGCGACGTGGTAAACAGGTAGTAGTAAACATTAACACCGCCCCCCCCCCCCCCCCCCCCCCCCCCCCCCCCCCCCCCCCCCCCCCCCACCACNCACATAAGATGTAAGATTCTTCTGATAAATTTGATATTTTATATTCCTTCTCCCTTTACATCCATCCAACCAATTCCATCTCCCAGTTGTTTCCCTGTATCTTTTCATCTTTTATGCAGCCTATTAATCTGGCAAAAAAGGGAAAAGAGTTGTAAATACTAACAGAGTGAAGACACTTACACATGAGAGCACCCATGGGACTGCTCAAAACTTCATTTGGGAGATTTAAAATGTAGTCTGGTATAGAAGCACCAACCAAAAACTGTGCAACTTCATTACTAAAGTTGTTGCAATTATGAGTTAGCAAACTATATGTTTCCACTGTGTACCGGGGGCCAATCTCTTCTAAATATGTTTCAAATACATCCTTTGGCACATGTGTGATGCCAAGATCTGCTACTCGAATTGGAGTCCCATAAGGTGTTGTTCCAACTGGAGAGCTTTGTATGCCACCTCCAAAGTAATATTCGCTACCATAAACAACTAGTCCTGTATGCCTACAGAATTAAAAGGCAACACCACGTTAAACACACAAATTAGTAGGCCAAATAATAAGAAAATCAATTCTGAGACCAAGTGCATAACGAGCTTGAAGTCCGCAAGTTAATAACCCCAAATCTCTCCCCCTCGTATAATCTCCTCAAAGATCTCAGCAGAATTTGATCAGATTGTGAAGAGAGGGAAATTTCTTGCATGTTAGTCCATCTATGAGGAAAATCCCAAGTACACTCACTCCCACTTCCACACTTAAAACGCTTGGAACTCGATTTAGATCATTATTACCCTTGTTTTTTTTTGAAAATATAACCCTACCATATGCCTTCAATAGTCCTCCCCAGAAATGTAGTCGATAGTTGCCTGGCTAGACCTTGGCTTAAGTCATACACGTTCAAGGACACCTTGTACCCCTCCTGCAACAATCCAAAGTTTGTCAGTCAATAAGTGCATATTCCAACAACTTTCTTGTTTAAATGAGATGTGCACTCTCTGATAACTTCAATAAAAAGAGAAGGGTACCTCAGCCATCTTAACAGTCCACAAAAAAGCGGGAGGTTATGGTGTTTAATTGAGCTGAAAGGAAGACCTACAAGCACAAATCATTTACTAGCTACAGTTCAGTAGACAAAAATTCACAAACCACATTAAAGCCCGACACTATTATGGAAAATGAAGAAAGCATCAACAGACTCCTCTTCCATTATCACATCACAGAGAAAAGATGTTTTCGAACCAAGTAGATAAATTTAACGGACAAATGATGATAATACAACCATGAAACTAGACAAAGAAGAAAGGCTAACTCCAACATATTATCCATACTGTGTGATAACATAATTAGAGGAGACTGTGGCTTCCTGTAAAATAGTATTATGCCACATAATACTCGTTATTACATCCTTAGTAATTTACATAACTTTACAGAATATGTCATGGGACTCCAGTGACATTTCCCATAACCTTGGAACACTCTTCGGCATGGCTCATTCACTAATTATGCTTCTCAACTAAAGGTTCCCTCGCAGTCATACTATATGATATCTTAGTGTTTAATCCGTTGGATGGAGGATTTCTCTAGAAGACTTATAATTTCCTTGTTTGGGAAGACACTAGAGTGCAGTCAAACCTTCTTTCTACTATTCATCTTCTTCTTTCTTCTTTGTTTTCTAATTACCTTGATAGGTCAGAAATCTAGTTGATTCTCTTGTGTAATCAAGTGGGAGAAGGTTTGATTTTAGATTGAAAAACAACAACCTTTGTGGTTGAGGGATTTGTGGTGTGTAACCAAAAGTTGTAAGAACTTGATTCGGTTTCAGTGTTCGAGCTATATTCACATCATTGGATGCTCAATTGGGGGATTGAGAGTTAGAAGTGATCACCAAATCCCCAGGGATTTAAATGAGTTATTGGGACTGTTCACTTAGTTTGTAGCACTAAACTCATCTTTCAACAACATATCCGATGAGTATAATTAATAGTATACATCGCCGTCATCAGGTGCTCTTTTTGCATGACATGATGACAACAATGAATGGCATAAAAATAAAAATGAAATTACTTTTCAGTTCCAGTTCCTAAGGGCTCACGAGAATAAATATTCCAGTCAATAAGTGGGTAAAAGTTTTACAGCCTAATCTTTAATACTGCATAAGCAATTAATAAAGATCAAAGTTTATTTTCACATGTGATATGACCAAAACATCACTAAACATATCGAACAGAGACTACCAATGTAATCAACAGACACTAAACATCCTTCGATCCCATTTGAACTGTCTAAACCAACAGTAGTAAAAGCAGGCCATTAATGTATCTGTCACTAGAAAAGAGTATCTCCAATAGTGGTATAAAATAGATCTAAATTGTGATTTAAATCTCCACGGTCGCCGGAAACCTCTCCAATCGAGAGATGCAAAGAAAATGCTAATTGTATGCATTTTCTAGTAAAAAATGTAAAATCTTTTTTTACATTCACGAGAGGCAAAAAGTGGATGAACAAATTTTAAATTTAGATTTACAGGGATGTAAATGAGGATACAAAAGCAGTTTTGAAGATACCAAATATGCACTCAATTTTACATCACCACTAGAGATGCTCTAACATTCACAAGATGGCAGCGTCGGTTAGATTCGAAGTAATACAGAAAGCATACACGTATAATACAATACACCACTCTAACATACTCCACAATGCTACTGCCTTCTTATTTTGCATATTGTAAATTCAACATTAATACATAGTACATTCTCGTTTGATATAATTTCGACTGTCAGATTTAAAAAAACCTAAGCAATTACAAAGATATAATCACCAGTTTCTTAATTCCATAAATTTCATATTAACACATTACTCACAATTCTCACGTGTATTATCAAACATGACGAAAAACACAGAAACTTACCGGATCTCTCGGATCAAACCTGAATTCAAACCGGTAGTTGTTCGTAAATTTCCGAATACGTTACAGATAAATCGAAACTTGAAGAAAATGAAGAAAAATGTGTAATTTTAACAAGTAGTCTACCTGAATAACTTCTTCGAGGGAAGCGTGAGATTTTTTTTTTTTTTTTTTCTGGCGTCAATAAGAGAGGAGAGGCTGAAAGAGAGCAGTTTGGACGGGAGGAATTTATGCGTGAAAGAGAAAGGCAAAGGTTCTCGACGACGACATGGGGATTTTTATGGCTCTCTGGAATCCACAGCGGCCACTTCTTTTACGACACGTTTGTGAGTCTTTTAACCTCCTTTTAACAACCGTTATATTCAGGTAAAATGAAGTTTTAAGTTAAGGATGTAAACAAAAATCGTCAAATCGTTAAATCGAATCGAAATCACAATTTCGAAATTAGCTGTTTGGTGCCACGTGGATTCATCAACGAAATGATTTTGAAGCAAACCAAACAGATCAAAAACGGTTTGGTTTAGATTTGGGAATTTTAATTACGGTTTAAAATCAAACTGGATCGACGAAAAAATATATAAAATAAAAAAATAAAATGATTTTTTTAAAAAAAATTATTCAAAATTCAAATTTTGTAAATTCAATAATTTTGTCATTTTGTTGGTATTTTTGTCAATTTCTAATTTCCTATTTTTTGTTACGATTTAGACCCGCCCAAANCGTGTTCTTGATTCTTGAACATAGAAACCGTTTAAGTTATTACTAAACATAGTTTGTCTCTCGATTCTTGAAAATCCCCAAATTCGTGATTTTTGTGACATGTGGATTATTTCTATTTTCGAAATTCTGTGATTTTAGTTACATAGCTGCATATTCTTGATTTTTGAACATGAAAACCGTCTAAGTTGTCTCTGAAATTATATGACTGTGATTTTAGTTTATCGTGATTTTACTTTGATTTTGTTGGTATTTAAATTTATAGTATATATATTTAGTTTATTTTAGATTTATTACCAACAAGATATAAATATATATTGAATTAATGATATAAAAGTAGAAATTAGACAGACAAAAAAAATATACGCAAAATCGGCGGTTTAAAACTGGAACAAACCATTAGGTTTAGGATTGAGTTTTTTTCAAACCGGTTGAAACGGTTTGATTTGAAAATTTGTCAAAAATCGGTAAAATCGGACCGCTTACACCCCTAGTTGTAAGTAGTAATTTTTGGATGAGTAACGCTAAATGAACATCTTGGATGACACTTTGGTTGATCGAACACACACATGGGGGTCGGCATTATTTAATTCACGAGGGACCCACGGTGCAATGTGATGGTCGATCAACCGAGGTGGCACCAAATTCAGGCAAAGTGGCTTTACTCTTTTTGGATAATATGTTGTTAAAAAATAAGGAAATTTTTTTAATTTACGTGTAGAATATTTTATTGTGTAAATGTGTGGTTGAAAAGAATAATGTTATCTAGTATCAGTGGTGCTAAAGTACTACTGTATGTGACAATATGTAATATGTTCAATTAAATGTGAAATTAGATGATTCATTTAATAAAATTTATAATTTAATGTTATTAGAGTTGTCATCTAAACGGGTGTTAAATATCAGTGGTGCTAAATAGCATTAATCGATTGAAAATAAACATATAAAAAAAAATGAATTTTGAAAGAACGGAAGACAAACAGGGACTGACTATGTAGAAAAAAGAGTTTTGAAATAATGATAGTGAAATGGGAGGTTGGTTAGACGAATTTTCTTTGTTTATTATTTTGATTAAATTGCACTCAATGTCCCCAACTTTTTCTTTGCATTGCACTTTTATGTCGTATCCTTTTTATGTTTCATTCTCATTCTCAAGCTTTCATTGATTGTATTGCTTCCATGTCAATAGGCTGAGCAGACTCAGTTCATTGGTCTGCAAGCAGCTTGCTAATTAAAAAAATGAGAACTCAGGCTCAACTCGTTGGCTTGCTCGTAATGGGTCGAGTAGAGTTAGCTTGATCATAATGAATCGAGTAAAATTAGCTCGATCACAATAGATCAAGTGGAGCCAATTCACGAACTATAGGCTAAAAATGAATTAAAATTATCCTTGAAGATTTAAACTTAGAGAAAATAAAAGAAATCAATCTTGTTTGGTCCCCATTATTTCTGAAATACATTTTCATCTCTCTTATTTTTAATCACATATTTTTCAATAAAATAATATTAAACGTAAATCCAAAAAATTTTCTTATTTTTTTAATCACATATTTTTCATCAAAATATTATTCTAAAATGCATTTTCATTATAAAAAAAATGGCGCTCAAACAGACTCCTAGTGAATACACAAATAAATAAATAAATTGTGAAATGATTTTCATTTTCTTTCACTTATCTTGTGCATGGCTTAGGCTTGTACTACCTTCCAACATTAATGGAATACTTCAAAGTTGTATACACTAAAATAAGCCAAATTATTTTAATTTTTTAAATAAATTTGCCAATTAACCAATTAAATGATTAATTATAAGTGTCTGTGGCTCCAACTACCAAGGATCAAACCCAACTTGATAATTCACCTAACACTCACTTATTCTATCATTTAAGTTTAGTTGTTGCCATCGTTTTCAACTGCTCCCCTCTCACAAGTCACAATTTCATCTTTGCTCCTCAAGATCGTCGATGTTTTAGCATTCTAATTGACTTTTTGGTGGTTTGTATATATTGATGAATCGATCTAGTTATTAGACAACTTTTTATTTGTATATTTTTAATTGACTATGTTGTTTTGTAAGAGTTAAGATTGAACATGTCATTGGTTGGATTAATATAATGTTGTTGTAAATATTACAAAATTTAATTAGGGTATGGAATCAAACCAAACCAAACTAGTTTGATTTCATAATTAAATTTGGACACAACGATTGCAAATAAATACTCAAAAAATTTGGTTTGATTCTATTCTCTTAACAATCAAATCGGACCATGAACAAGCCTAATAGAAACTATTTGAAGTACCCCTTTCGCTTTGACACATGGGAACATATACTCTGGAGTTTTAGATTTATCTCAAGGAAAGACAAATAGAGCAAGAAGACACTCAAAGAAAATGAAAAAAAAATGTTCGATAATTTTAAGTTGGTTAATTTGTACAAATAGTCCCCAATATTGGGTATGAAAACAAACACCTATCGTTTTCATCCTAGCAATCTAGTCACTAGTTGAACATTTTAATGCAGAAATGGACCTTTCCATGTTGTATAGTCCAATTTATCCATCAAAGTGGTGAGTGCCTTGCACATTCCTTATTGCAATTTCTTGCGTTAAGCTTACTGTGCTATTCCTTATTGCAATTTCCAATGGTACAAAGTATTAAGAATAATGCTATATCCGAACCAACTATAGGGTAGGTTCTTGTCATACCGTGTTTGTCATGCAGATTGTCCAAAACATGTTTTTGTACAAAAATATGTTTAGTAGTAGAGAGAAGAATATCCTATATCCGAACCAACTATAGAGTAGGTTCTTGTCATACCGTGTTTGTTATGCAAATTGTCCAAAACATGTTTTTGTACAAAAATATGTTTAGTAGAGAGAAGAATATCTACTTTTCACTTGGGAATATTCATTTAATGATAATATGTGACACATATGTATTGCATTTATTGTTTATCTCATAATCGACAAACTTTATGGCATTTCCACAAGGTAATTCTTGGGAACTTCCAGAAATTACAAAGCAAAATTATTCTATTCTACAAGGCACTCTAACTAGACCATAGAAAGCCCTGACACTTAATTATTCAACTACAATAAAGTGAGGAAACTAAGGATCTTGTAATAAATTAATGTCTTCTTTTTGATCTTCACATACCTGGGGGATACATACCCAGTTTATTGTAGACTTGTGCACATTTTGGAAGAGCTTCTTTCTTGAAGAATCCAAGAGGATTTATGGTGCGTGTGGTACCATTTACCGTATTGAGTATAAATTTTAATGATGGTTTTACCCATCCTTCAACGGGGATTTCATCACAATCTTTTATGCCACTTGAAAGCAATGTGATTTCACAAAACTCGTTCTTGTGATCACGTTCCACGAGCATGCTATAGAGTCCTTCCGCTCTCGTGTAACCTATCTCAGTAAATGTTATGTCTCCATTCTCCTTGGCTCTGCATTGAAGGCGTACACTGGCTCCTACAAGCCGAGATTTAAGGTATAAATTATGAACTATATTATAATCAATTTCCTCAACTACACATACACCACCATAAAGAAGATGGATGAATGCATATCAAAGGAATTCTTATAACCAAGGACTAATGTCATTGGAGTATCAAGATAGAGTCTGTGTTGTTATTATTACATTGCCATGTTGTAGAATGAAAGAGAAATGATATGTGATATGAAATTTAAACCATCTTTAAATTTAGTTCTTAACATGTCTTCTCCTGTGTGTAGGCTCGAGCACAATTTATTTTAAACAAGTAGCTATAATTATGCATGCTCGATCTCTACTAGCATGTTGAACTACCTCATAAACTATTAGATAAGGAAGTTCAACAACAATTGAAGCAGCAAATTTAGGTTTTACCGAAATTTTACAAATGTGGAAACAACAAATTCAACTTGAGTAGCCAAATTTTTTTTTTTTTTGTGGATAAGATGGAAAACAAGATATAATATGAGTACCATTTTGCACGGATTATAATTACATACCTGGGATGAACTTGCTAAGTTCTATAATGAATCGAGCACGATGTGTCACAATAAACCTGTCCCTGAATATGAAATTGAGAAATTGGGGGTTGGGGAACGTTTTCTAAGTAGACGACGCTAGGAAATGATAAGGACGATAAAGCAACAACAAAGAGAATTGAAACTTTGATTAGTTTTGCCATATTTCTTTCAGTATTGTTGTTCAAGAAGATCAAAGAATTGATTTTGTGTGTTTTGTACCAACTCAACATTCTTATTTATAGAGAAGTGATTGGTTAATATTTTGTAGACAGTTATTTCTATGAGGTCAAATTTAGGATCTATTTATTTTTTTCAGGATCTTAATTTAGAATCTTGAAACTGTTTCTTATGTTTAAAAATTGTGTATATTCTAATTTTAAAATTAGATTTAAAATTTAAAAAAATATATATCAGAAATCGTAAATTTTTTTTATTAGGAACTACCTAATTCAATTAAAATTGACATTTAATTGCATGACCTAACAAAATAAAATTTAATTTTATATTGATTTGTGTTTTTAAGTGTTCAATTGAAGTTAAATATTTTTTTTTATATATATATTTTTGAAACGGAATATTAAATAATTACAAAACATGAAGTTATTATGTTTTATAAATTTTTTCTTATGTATCTTACTATTCTATAGAAAAACGTTTTCATATCATGTTAAATCTTATCGAGCTTTTTCACTTTTCTTTCGTCTCTCCTCGAAGTACAGGGTAAAAATTGTTGGAAATGAATGAAAATATCAGTTTCAAAATATCAGTTTCAGTTTCAGCAGGCCCTTTAATTTCAGATTTTATTCATGGAAATAAATTTCATTTTCGGTTTCATGAATCCATGTAAATCAGTTTAATGGAAATCAATTTTCAGCCATTAATCTCTTCTTTCCTCAACTCCACATTCAATGCATTAATGTGAAGGCTCTTCCTCCACTAGTATAAATAGAGGAGCTTAGTTGGAGAAAAAAAAANAAGCATACAATCCAATTTCCCTAAATTGAATTAACGCAGTTGTAATATTTGGAAAGCAATAAATAACACAAAATTTGATGACGGAGAAACTCAACTGCGTAAAAACTCCGGGACCAAGCCGTTACCTCCACTATAGGCAATGTGGGTTACAGTTCAATTCCAATCTAGTTCCACTAGCTATTGTAAACCCTGCAACTCCAAAATCTGTTGTTCTCCAACCTTACGATCTGCTACCGTAGATACTGTCTAGTCAACCCTACTAGACCTCATGATCTACCTCATGTAGCTTTCAAGATCTACTGTACTTACAGACTTACAATCTTCTACCAAGATATGTTATCTCAGTCTCACGATCTTCTGCACACGTCTCTTTCAAGTGGATACCCAAGAATCACGTATTCATATTCTTCTTCCTGCGCTTGAACCCCTTCCTCAAAGTGTTAAAGAAGATAGATGTTTTGGATTAGAACATCTGATGTTTTCCAAAACCAGGTTGTCGGATCATAAGAATAATATGTTTGTTTTCACCAAAGAATTATGTTATTAGATCTCTCAAAATATGATGTGAATATGTTATGCAATGAAAGCACAATAAAACCACCTCTTAAAATTCGTCTCAAACATCTATATTTATAGTTAGGGAAGTTTAGGTGTTATGAGTTGTGTAAAACTACATTAAACACTTTGTACATTTTATAGAGTTGAAAAGTTTCGTAGAAGGGTTCAATTAACGTCTAATGTATGTTGTATTAAATTTAAAGATATTATTGAAATAGTCTAAGACCTGTTTGACATTGTTTTTATTTTGCTTCTTGTAAACGAGTTTTTTGATTAAACTACTCTAATTTTTGTTTTAAAACAATTTATAAAAGAAATTCTTATTCTGAAAGTAATTTTAGAGGAAGTCATATTAGATTAACTTTCTCTAAACGTTTTTCTAATTAGAAGAAATACTTTTATAAAATTAGTCAAAGTGGTCTAAAAAAAAAGCTTTTGAGTTCTTAAAAGTCATTTTGACTTCTTAAAAGTCATGTCAAACATGTCTTAAATTTCATATCAAAAAAAAAAACATGTCTTAAATTATAAAAATAAATTATAAAAGAAGGCGCGCATAACTCTATGGGATGGATGATTGAAAGCAGGATGTCGTATTTCTGGTCCATTAGTAGATTAACGGGAGACGTCGCACAACGGTGAAATTAATAAATAAGTACTTTATTGTTGGACTTCTGTTTTGTTTCAAATTTAGTCCCTCATTTTCCACAATCTCCTAAATTAACAAAAAATATAAAAAGAAGGCCTCGATGACAAAAATGTGAAATAGAAAGATAGATCAATTTGCGAGGATTTTGACAGGTGCAGTAACAGAAGTTCAGGTAGCAGCAGATAATTGGATGAAAATACTAACTGTATTGTAAACGGTCCAATGATAAAATATCACGTTACACTGTCAACCTCAACCTATCTGGCCAGCACCCTAGCACGATGAAATTTGAAAGGCAAAAGTGGAAAAATACATTGCCCTGCTGACATGTTTAGCTAAGCTTAAATCGAATTAGTCAATATGAAGAATTCAACATAATATTATTGTCGAAATTAATAAGTAAACTGGTTAGAGGGTGTGGATTAAGATGAAAAATGTTTTTGATCTTCTGATCAAGGAATTTTATTTACCATCCTTCCTTATTCAATCTAAATCCACCTCTAACTTCTTCGTCTACTAGATTCATTTTTATCAAGGATTTAACATGCACAATTCTTCACAAATCAACAGCAAAGACTTGAACTACTTATAGTGACTCGTATCTTGTCTAAAATTTTCAGACGCTAGTGAAATCCCTTTATACACACTACTTTAAACATGTATCCATAGTGGAATGTCGATTCTTTTGCAGCCTCCTAAGCTCCCGTCAATGTCCACAGGGCTCTGATCTCCATTATCAGTTGCTTTAAATTCGGTAATGACATTAAATAAGCAAAAAGAATAGATAGCAGCTTTTCTTTGCCATAGAAAGGGAAAAAAGAACAAAGAACAAAGAGAGAGAACTTTTTGGGGTCAGTCACAACACTTTTAAAAGAGTGGAACTTTCATCTAAATCACAGTAAAAATTATAAAACTAGGTAAAATCACTCTTCTAACTAATCCTAGTTTTGTCATGTTTTCAGTACACATTGTACAGAGAAAAATGGTTCTCAAGCTTGCTCTGATGTGTTCATCTGAAATAATATTGCCATACAACAGCCATACCAGCTACCAAGATAAC